ATTATCTTATCTAACTAAAAACTTGCAAATCAATCAAACTATCACAGTAACGATTTCCTAAATGTTTGCTTAAATTAAATTCAAATCGATATATGCACTTTGCAATTAATTATACAATTTATGAAAAATATGTTCGATTAATTATACAGAGGCGTGACATCAAAAAGCAACTAAATTGCAATACACTATGTATCAAAACATGAAACTTCACCCGTAGATCAAAGGATTAAATACATTACTATATCGTTAAATGTTGCATCATAACACGTTGCATTTAACGATGAAATTGATACTGATATTAATATTTATTTTTGGAAGTTATTGGTTTTACAAATTAAATGTATTACAAAAATTAACATTCTAAATCACTAGAGCTGTATGAAATTTAAATTCATATCTATCGCTATTTTTTTCTAAAAAAAATCATTTTTATTTTTACTTAATTGTTTTTTTTATTGAAAGTAGAGGTGATGCGGGTAACTTCTACTTATTGTCAAATATTTTCATATTTTTACGCATTGTCAATTCAAATGTATTTCATTCGCACAAGTTCACAAAGACAAAAATTGGACGTGATTTGGAGTGTAATACAAAATTGGGCTATTTTTAGATATTTTATTTTTTGCTCGTTTTTTTAGTTTAGTATTATAAGTACCATTTTATATCAAAAACTTTTAAAAGAACTTTTAATGTCGACCAATTTTTGAAAATTTTGCTTATTATTGGGTCTGTCTTAGAAATGTAATTTTGGGTACGATTCTTAAGATCAAATGAGCAAATATAATAATTGCAATTTTCCCCACAAAAATCGAAAATGGTCACATTTGACCAAAGCTCTGAGTTGAACGTACAAGCCATTACATTCACTTACTGCATATGATACAATTTTGTTTCTAATTTATTTCATGGTAGTTACAATCATGCCGTCACCCCCCCCATTTCGTCTTCTATTACGTCCATACAATTATTTTCTATAATCGAATTATAAAAACTTCTTCCTGGTTTCATTACTTGTTTTAAATATTTTTTATCCAAAACTACATGCTTTTAAATAAATAATTGATTTCCAATGAAGCCACCTAAAACCAATTTTACATTCGAACCTTTCCTTGCGTGCACGGTATCAAATATCCCATGGAAGAAATGTACCTCCAATTTGATCCCTGCATGCGTGATAATTATAAATGTACACTGATGCTGTACATCAGTTTACAAAGTCCCAAATGGGAAATTCAATCTTGTAAGTTAGTATTCTATAGCCAGCCTTATACGTCGTGTGAATAGGAACCGCCGTCATCCCACGACTGAACAACAACCGAGAAGGCAGCCAGACAGGCTGACAGACAGAGCATTCAGCGCATTTGCACACTATTCGTTTACGAAACGTTTAAATATAATAACAGATATATACGAAATACAGCTTCAGGCAAATTTGATTATAATGACGTGATATAATCGTTGAACAAAGCTGATTCAATACCAAGATTATCAATACACGACTCTCGCCGCAATCGGGAGAACTCATACACTCATATGATTGACGATAGGTAACGACAGTGCAGATGCAAGGGTAAGATAAATTGTTTAAGGTTAATTGTTTTTGAAATAAATTGGGAATGTGTTCATGGTGCAAGGGTAAGAGCATCGACTTTGCGACCTTGGGGTTAGATACAACCTGGTATCAATCTGAAGTGATATCTGTTTACACTTTGTTGTCCGGTCAGGAGGTAACTCGTGGTATTGGTATATAGCCAACTGTTGTTGACCAAATGAACTTATAATGCGCTTTTTTGCGTCTCGGTTTGCGACCATACAGTACAATTGCTGGTCAATATGATACAAGCTGTTTCTCTCGCTCATAAGACCTGCCAAACCTTTTGGTGTAAAATAATAGAGATATCTATATCCAGACAACGAAGTGGATAGACCTAACTATATTTCCAAGTAAAAGTAGCTTTTTGAGGCATCACTGCAGTATGGGTATCATATAATGTTACAAGTATGTAAAGTAAAAAGTTCATCACAACGAGAAAGGACAAACATTTGGATAGCTTGAAAGTAGCTGAGAATACATATTATAAAATCATTATTTATACATCAGGAATATTATACAACTTGCTTTGGTGCAAAATTTCACATTTTATATATTATTTGAACAGATACAGATTTGGAAATGAACACAGTCGAGAAAGAAATTGATAAGTTCAATCTAAGAGATAAGGAAATAATACAGACTCATCCAAACGGCATGGCCAGAAATTTAATGAAGTGTTATAGCATCGAACTGCTCAGTAGAAAATGATCCTATCATGCACTAATTTACAATATTGCATTTCTTATTGTAGGTAAATTGGAATTTTTGCATCAGTGAAACGTATTACCACTGGCTGACCTTTCGATTTTCTATCTTAATATTACTTGACCAAAAGTTCTTATTTCCATGAATGTTATTTTCTTTTTATAACGACAGTTTTTAATTTATAAAAGCAAATGAAAAAAATGAACAGGGATTATAACTTAAGGGGTTACACCACTGTAGCAGTGAAAACGTATGTTTTTACCATTTTTTTCGGACGGAAGGAAAAGTATTATATTCATGAAATTAGAGATAGTTATTTATTGTACTTTAAAGTAATAAAATAAAATATAATTGTAAAAAAAAATTAGAATGGCGGTACTACAACCATTTCGGCGAGCCGCGTCAAAATTCGCGGCACGCAAAATAACTACAACAATTTGAATTTTTTTCACTAGAATTTTTTACAGTATATTTAAAATTACATTTTTAAGTGCCCATCATAGGAGATCTTTTATATCTTAATTTGTTCATCAATTATTAACAAATTACAAGCCGTTCTTTTCGTTGATATTCAACGATTTTGAATAAAGTGCTCGCTAAACTAATAAAAATCGATATTTTTCAATTCCGCTATGATGGGCACTTTAAAATTTTATTTTAAATGTGCTATTGAAAATTCGAATGAAAAAAATTCAAATTGTTGTAGTTATTTTGCGTTTTTATTTTTTTTACAATTATATTTTATTTTGTTACTTTAAAGTACAATAAATATCTATCTTTAATATCATCAATATAATACTTTTTCTTCCGTTCGAAAAAAATTGGCAAAAACATAGTTTTTTTTTTTTATTGCTACAGTGGTGTAACCGCTTAAGGATCTTATAAGTTGTTGTGTTGTTTTGACTGAACAAATCCTTTGGTTTATTGATGTAGCAATGCCAGGTGAGGGTTATTTTTACTTAGATATTTATTGTTATCTATATTTTCTAGTGAAAATTGATGTCACTGCTGCGTGGAATTAGGCTATTCAAAGTGTCTATCGAATCTGAAGCTTCTGATAAAAAGCCGTAAAAGAGCTATTTTTATTTGGAAACAAATAGCATTTGGAACTTTTAATTTCCCATTGCTCTAATCGCAAAGCCCTATATAAAAAGAGCTATTTTCACTTGGAAACATATTGCTATCACTACTGCTTGACATTTGGAACTTCTGGCTGGCCATAGCTCTAACCACAAAGCCACGGCAAAGCCTTATAATAAAAGAGCTATTTTCAATTGGAAACATATTGCTATCTATATTGTTATCACTACAACTTGAAATTTGGAACTTCTGATTGCCCACATAGCCACAAAGCCTCGGCAAAGCCCTATGTCATAATAAGTAAATTCAAATTCTCCTCCCCGTCCCTTATCGATATTAATAGTCGTCGTCGTTGCGGTCGTGTGGTCGTTGTAAATATGATATTTGCGTTGAACATTAGCCACAATGTTTACATCGCTCTTGAGAATTAATTACCTTTAAGCCCTAATAAATAATGTTGTGATTCGACCGACTGTAGCTCTCCTATTCAGTGTAGCACTGCACTAATATCAATCTACATTCGCAAAACAATGTAGACAGGACGTATGGCTGGATTTAATCGCATCATATTAATTAACTTGCTCTCAGCGTGTCATTGAAATGGCGTTTGCAACGCTCTGGACATAAGTAACATCGACCAGGAATAGGCATGCATATTTGGAGATGATTCAGTATCGTGGACATCTTGGGAAGAATAATTGAAGGAGTAGACTGTTTTACAAATCTATTCGTAAAAGATAAACTAATGAGATAAATACTGATAAAAGGCTTCTTTTTGGATTATTGATTAGACTATGGACATTTAATCCAGGTTTGATACTCTCTTCGGACACCAGTAGTGCCATCAGTGTTTACTTGAACACATAGATAGCAATATGTTACCAAGTGTAATTAGTCTTTACTACGGCATTGCTGCATCAATAAAAATAAAAAATCATTAGTATTATGAAATTTTCAATAATACATTCATCAAATTGAAATAGCCATAAATACATTAAAGCCTCTCTATCTGTATGTATTGTCCAAGCCACTATCTGTATGTATTGTCATTGAAAGTGGATGTTAATATTGACGTTTTCTCCAAATAATCAACTTACTGATATCGAATTAAAAAATTCAAATGAAATTTATTGATTTAAGGGTTGACTACTCTCCAAACCACTACAAAATTACTTTTAATTAAAATGTTTCCAAAGATTGGGTAAGATCAAAGTATTCATACAAACCGATCAGTCTTCATCCTATTTTATCAGAAGTTTTTGAAAGATTTTTATCACAGGACATATTGAAGGA